TTATACAGGATTTATATAGCGCCAACAGTGTGAGCAGCGCTTTACAATATAAGGAAGACATTACAATCACAATACAATTCAAGACAACATGGTAAGGAGGCCCTGGACCTGAGGGCTTACAATCTAAAAGGGAGAATCTAAAAGAAAACTATTCCTTCTGCTAGCTCCTCCGAACACCACTCTGCTCTTGAGAAATCCTCTGCCGAAGTCCACACTAAAGCCAACTCCTCAGAGAATGTTAGTCTTCTGGGTCACCCTCAACTCTCCCTAGTTCCTTCCTCTGACCTCAACCAATTACTGGATACAGCAATTATTATTATTATTATTATACAGGATTTATATAGCGCCAACAGTTTGCGCAGCGCTCTACAATATAACAAAGAGTTTACAATTACAATACAATTCAAGACAAGATGGTAAGGAGGCTTACGATCTAAAAGGTGAGGCAAGTGATACATGAGGAGGTAGCTGTGTGGGGATGAATTGTTTGAGAATCTGATGGATATATGGATATAGGTATATAGAGATATAGGAGAAGGAGTTTACATAGCACAGGCTTCCAGAAGAACACCATTCTGCCACAGTTATTCATGTTACTTAATGCATCCCTATGTTTTACCCATTCAGTTTAATGTAACAGATTCTCTTTATAGCAGAGAGTGTAAGGAGCACATACTTATCTTCATCTTCCTTGCCTTGCAGCCCTGTTTGTCCACCAGTGCAAGAGAAGAACCCTCTACTGCTGGGTATAGGGACACACTCAAAATATGTTTTGTTTTTTCTTGCACAATGCAGTGCTCATTGTCTAAATAGCCAATTGGCGGGCCTGTGTTGTTTCACATGGGGAGGGATAGTGCATGAACAAGGTAGTTAAAGAGAACCCAGTGATTCATATAGTCTGGAACTACTGGTTGTCAGTGACAGCCGGCACCCAACACTAACCCCCAGAACTTGAATGATCAGCTACTGGTCTTCTGATCTTGATACACCATACTCCATATGAGCACTTGCTGCAGATCATTGTAAAAGCAACACATCCACATTCTGTTGAAGTGAAGTCACTGCACTTAGTAATTGTTTGGAAGCTTAGAAAGAGCTGAACCAGCCCTTATCTGCCTCTCCTTGCAGAAACAGGTCACTCCTATAGTGATCTATTGCTGGCTGATTGCAATCAGCAATTGGTTGCTATTATAAAGGATCTGTTGCAGAGTTAATTTCACAGAGAAAACATTTTCTTTTTTTTTTCATCATCTGCATGCTTTTAGTAACAAAAATAAAACCAAGAGTAATAGAGATGTTAGACGAACATAAACTAAACTAAAATTCTGGGAGTGACTATTGCATTTGGACTTCCGCCATGAGATCTTCGACTTCTTGCATTAGGGAGACGTGCACAATAACTTACTAATGTGCATAAAACCTACTGATCTACTCAGCAGGACACCAGCTAGTAAACACTTGCTGCACTAACTGTACAGACATGTCAACGTCAGGGAGAAAGAGAAGAACAGCTGTATGGATGCATTTTACATTTGATACTAATGAGAAGAAGACCCTTTATAAACCATGTGGAGCAACAATTGTAAGTCATAAAAGGTTAATAGAGTTTGACTCCAGGACTATATAATGAGTTTGGAAATTCTAGAGACTTGCTTAAATAATGCGTTACACATTTAAATAATCCCATAAGATTTAGTCGACCAAAACTAAAACTATTCAGATGACTAAAACTAAAATGGCATTTTAGTCAAAAGACTAAAACTAAGACTGAATTGAAATTTGCCATCACAATTAACACTGATCTGTTGCTGTACTGCTCCATTGGGGTATAAAATGTAAAAAGTATGATTACATTAAAATATATATATAAATTTTAGCACTCGCACACCTGGAAAAGTCTCTATCATGTCAATTGGTCTTCACCAACCCAACTTGATCTGATCTCAATGTTTTGCTAAAAATGTAAAAACTATGAAAAACTGTCACAAATAAAAAAAATGCTCTGGGACCCAAGGATGTTAGAGGGAAAAAAGGCCAAGAAACTCAAATGGTTAAACTAAAGACAGGAATCTCAAAGGTGTACAGTGAATGGACTACAACACATGACCCCTCATTAAAACTATCTGTTATGTGGTAAGTGGCCCTTGATGGATGAAAACAGAGGACATCAGATGGTTTGGACCTTAAAAAAATGTCCAGACTGAAACAATTATCCTAACATTACAGTTGTGGGGTTCAAAGGCCAGTATCACAATGCAGAAATGCATTACATTCTTGGCTGTTTAGAGAATAAAAGGAGATTACCATGCAAGGTATATGTCTTGCTGGATTGATGAAGGCTTTGAAAATGCTTTGTGACCTGATGAATCCAATGTACAAACCAATGGCAGGCTCGGGCTGTAATGTACCACCTTTGGGGATGAACTTGAATGCGCAATACATACAGGGTTATTCACAAAAGGGTGAAGAGTTTGAAGAAGGCAGGAGAAGTGAACAATCTAGCTGAACTGGAAAGTGAGCTGAATTGGAGGATTTTTTCCAAATCAGCTATTTTGTCCTAGGTTGTTCACTTCTCCTGCCTTCTCCAAACTCTTCACCCTTTTGTGAATATCCCTGATAGAAAACAACATCTCCTTACCAACTTACAGGCCCGGCGCTACCGCAAGGCAAGGCAAGCTGCCGCCTGAGGGTGCTGCAGAGTGAGGGCGTAAAAAACAGGGCATTTTGACAAGTACTTGTACTTGTCAAAATGCCCCGATGCTTGCGCTATGTTTTTTTTTTCACACACCTGGAGCCCCTCCCACCGGACCAGCACTCTTACGCACCGAAGGTAAGTGAAGAAAAAAAAGCATGCTGATAGGGAGCAGGCCCAGCGCTACAGGGGGTCGGGGAGGGGGTTGGGCGGGGGATGGGGCGCAAAAATGCAACTTTGCCTGTGTAGGCAAAAATCCTAGCACTGACCCTGCCAACTTAACAACTAAAGTCACATTAATGTGAGCTATTTTACTTCTTTCCATCCAGCTCAGAGATTTACACAGCTTAGCCACACTACATAGCCTTGTCTTGCAGGGCAGGAGACCTCATTTCAATCTGCTGCAGTTAAGTAACATTTACAAATATTTTCCCTGCCCCAGCCTGTGATTGGACAGTAAAAGGAGAAGCAGTATCCAGATGAACTCACCCCTCTGTAACGTTGCTCTCTCCTGTATTCAATGAGTTTAATGTTTATACTAGAATGCTACAGGGATGTCATTGAGTAATTACAACAATATGGCAAAAATTGTCAGGTCCAAGGATAGTGCTATATATTATTGAACAGGATTTTCTATTATTTGGGTCAGTAAATACAGGTATCTTTATACTCATATACATTATGTTTATATCCTTTTGGTTCTCAGAATTGTCTTTTGTGTAAGTTTTATCAGCAAAAATGTAACACCTAGCTTTTCTTCCCCTTGACTTCAAATCTGGTTCATTTTTACATTTGAAAAATTGCATTGCAGGTTTGGTCTAAATGTCAGGTCAACTAGGACCGAACCTTTATGCAAACACCGCAGTTGTAAGGTTTCCTGGCTGAGAAAAGGCAGCATTAGACCTTAATTGCTGCAGTTTTTTATAAAGTAAAGCAGCAATTAGCTTCTCCGAAGGACTATCTGTTTAAACAAGGTCATATGAAACTTAACAAGGACAAACATAGCACTTCTAAATGGGTTTAGAATGTTGTACAATACCTATTCAGTTCCAAGGCCATCCCTGCAAAAAAGACTAATTACCCATAATGTGTCATTTATTTTTAGGAGAATTAAAACACACAAAAGTGTGTATAGGAAGCACAAACACAGTTTATACTTGATTCTCTTTCACCCACCACCACCTTGTATCCAATGAGAGCATCTCAGCTGCCAATAGTGTTGTTCTCCCAGTACGTTGGAATGGTGGCAGGAGCAGAGCCTTGAGTCAGAGATAAATTTGAAGCCACAGTTAGTGTGCTTTTGAGGTTAAAGGGTTCCATGAGTGGATGGCAGAGGATGGAAGTGCAACTGAAGCCAAAACTTTTTTTGGGTTTGGATAGAGTGGAGAGGCATAAAAACACCTGTCAGGTTTTTATTGCTGTCTATGACCCAGAAGGCCCTCCCACCTTGTCTGTCTGTAGAAAACTACAAGGAGATGAATACAAGACCGGTCACCCTACACAAGTAGAGAGAACAGCACTGACCAGTCTTTATTACAGAAAGCTGTTTCATGCTGAATGAGTGCACAGATCTATAGAAATACAAAGGACACTAAGGGGGTGTCCACACGCACGCACCAGGTGCGTGTGATTTTCACACAGCAAAACGTATTTATCAACCAAAAAGTCTCTAAAAGCATATTTCCACTAATGCCATATATGAAAAAATCATGCAGATGATGCATATATAATGCTGCTTCACAGTTTAGACAAAAATGGTTAGTTCATGCATTTACATTCCTGCATTCATCAACGCAAGCAACACAACGTAGAGCTAATTTACACAACATCACCTTGCAATTCATGCAAGGCTTTGCACAACACACCTGCTGGGTGTGTACACACTACAAAGGTGTTTAGATTCCACCCATAGATCATGCTGGGAGGGAACACACTACAGAGGTGTATACATGTTCGTGGTGTGTTTATAAGGTAAGTAAATCAACCCCTAAGATTCAAGAAAGAATGCGCATGGCTGTTGTATTTAAACAATGTTTGATTAGTGAAGCTCTCATCTTTAACTTTTATATAAAATGAAAGATGAAACATGATTGATTGATAATGGCTGCAGACTTGCTTTTCTCCAATTTTAATTAATCTAAATCAGATCTTTGCCATTATTTTTTTAAACAGAGATGCAGATATGTTAAAATGTATACTATGCATGTGTTAGTTTTTATGTGTTTTTATTGTTTAAATAATTATGTTCTTTTAACATTCTTTTTTTGATAATGCAACAGCTGACAATATTTCATTTCCTATTTTACAGGGAGATGACGTGTTAACTGTCGTCAAAGCTAAAGCTCAGTGGCCGGCCTGGCAGCCCCTGAATGTGTAAGTGTGAAAAGACATATGTTTCTTCTGCTTTCTAAAGTCTTCCCGATTTCTGCCTTGACAAGTGTTGTATCACCGGTGTCCCAGAGGTAAAATGATAAACTCAAGAACCGCTCTTCACTGACAAACATCCGTGTTGGTTTCATTGCCCTGGAAATGTTGAAAATTACTATATCTTTTGTAGTCTGTTCAGTGAGAAATATCCAGAATGTAACAGAATCAGTTTAAGCCATTTGTCAATTACAATATTGGTACATAAATATAAAGGAGAGGAATTGGTTTCATATGGGTGTCGGAATACATTCAAAGCAAGACTTAAAGGTATACAAATAAACATACTGTCTTAAAATGAACCTTTGGATTTGCCATACCTTCTATGTTGACCCCAAGTCCATAATGCAGATGGTTTCAGGTACTTGCTTGCATCCTTAGTGTACCCTAGAATGGCCAAAACCTAGGGAACCTCATTATCATTCAATCATTCAAATGATTGCAGCATTGGCACCATTTAGCTTTGGGGTCCTGGGAGTTATTGCCCAAGACAATTTGATGCTGCATTCTAACAACCCTCCTCCCCCTTGTTTTGGGACTATCTTGAGATTTTATTCACTGGTACAGACAAGAGTTTGGTGTTGAATGTAGTTGCAGACACAGACTACACACATCTCCAAGGGAACTGTGCCCACATTTGTTTGCTTTTATGCTTTATAGCCAAAACTAGTTTTGGATAGAATAGGAAAGGTTCCCAGAGGTGCAACTGGAAGTGAGACGGACTCTCCACAATGTGAGGGAATATCCCTTTCAGATGTTCTAACCAGAGCAGGTGTCCCCATTGGAAAACGTACACTCACCTCTTGTTCTAGTGACAACTGTAAAAATTTGGATTGCCTTTCACTTACTTTATCCAGGGAAAATAGAGAGGGTAAATCTACCCACCACGGACATAGACAGCCAAGTATAGTTTTGGCTAGAGTAGGAATAAAAATGTCTTTCCTCTTAGACATGTATCACTGATACAGGTATCACCACTGGAAAATTTACTCTCCACTCCTGTTCTGGAGACAACTGTAAAATGTTTGGATTTTTCTATGACTATGTCTCAGTGATAATCATTGAGCACGTCATTGAGGACAGCACAGTGGCGTAGTGGTTAGCGCTTCTGCCTTGCAGCACTGGGGGTCCCTGGTTTGAAAACTGGCCAGGCACTATCTGCAAAGGAGTTTGCATGAACTCCCTGTGCTTGTGTGGGTTTCCCCTGGGTGCTCCAGTTTCCTCCCACACTCCAAAGACATGCTGGTAGGTTAATTGGCTCCTGTCTAAATTGGCCCTGCATGTAAGATGGGGACCTTAGAGTGTAAGCTCCTTGAGTGCAAAGACTGATGTGAATGTGCAATCTGCAAAGTGCTGCATAAATTGTCAGCACTATATAAATACCTGTAATAAATAAATAATGTTTGCCAGGACAAGTAGAGAGGGTAACTCTAACCAGCAGGGATATTTACATTAATTAAAACTTGACAGGACTTTTATTCTTTCTCTACTTTAACCAAAACAAAAACAACAAAAAATGGCTATACATAAACTTTGAGTGTATTCTTTTACCATTGTAACATTTAGGTAACCTCTCTTCATTGGAACTTCAAAAGGTACCTGTATGTGTTCATATGAGCTGTAAATCTTCCTGCCATACTTCACTAGCTGCTATCTCAATTATTGCGGCTCTTCCCACACTGTCATTTCCAGTAACAAGCATGGTGCATAAATGGTTATACTGTACTAGGCTTTATCGGTGCTGTATACTAGTAGTTCTGGGTGAAAAGTTGGCTCAGGGGCAAAATCCAATGCTTTGAATGGCCCCGTCCCTATATTAAAATCAGAAATAAATGGCTTAGTAACATTTTAGGTAGTAAAGCCAGGAACAGGGTGACACCTCTCTTGCCTGCACCTGTAAAAACCTATTTAAAGTGCAACACCCGCCATAACATATACAGCTCTTCTATAGAAATGCCTAACATGGAATTCCACCCAATATTTTAGCTTTGGATAGTGTACAGAAGGGTTAGAACATTTTTAAGGCTGTCTCTATTCCAACTAGAAAGCTTCTGCTGATTTTCTGCCCTGGTAAAAGGCAATTCCCCAACCTTCCCCACTCTATCCAACAGTTATACATTTTTGGCTGTAATAGGTATTCCAAAAGCTGAATTCCAACCTTTCCTTCAACTTGCACAGTTGTAACGGCTCCTCTTCTGTACTGAAATAGCTTTCTCTGATTTCACTACACATTGTGAGCTTCTCCCAATGTGCATTAGAAGCTGCAGCAAGTCAGATAGAACCCGCCTCATTTCTTGGCTAGAGGGCAACCAGCATGATCAAGTCCTTTCCTCCCAAGCCTGCCTATCCCTGGCCCACCGCTTTAATTCATTCGATTTCAGTTCTTTTGATCATGAAAGCTCAGGATTACATGTGGGTATTACCTTGGGCAGTCTGCATACAAATGTTATCTGCCTAGGAACGCCCACCTATTAAGGCATTTTTATATTTTTATATCTCTGCCCAAGAGCCAGCCAACTGCTTGGCATTAGGATTGAGGACTCTCCAGAGGAGAGAAGAGTGTTGCAATGTTTTTAGAAGGTCATGCACAGCACCCTGCCGGCTCTTCTCACCAACCATTATTTTGGACCCTACAATGGTATGGAAATAAAATGGAACGTTTTTATTTAAAAATATAATTGGTATGTCGATGTTAATAAAATGGGGAACCAGGGAAGGCAAAATATAAGCAGATTAAATATCTTAAAGAATACAAGAAATGGGTTTATTCTATCCTGACTACCTGGGACCACATATAACTTGTATGCACCTCCTGGTGGGCCTTTAATTTTTTTTTAATCCCTTAGGAAGTTTTTCTGTCCTTGGTTAATTAAATAACACTTAGAATTTATGTACTTTAAAACTGACTAGCTTATTTTGCCATCTTGAACTGTACATCCTCTCCATATCCAACTTTTTACCTTCACACAAGTGCCTAATGGCACCCTGTAGTGAATTGGTAAGAACATTTATACTTCATAGTCTCTGTCCAATTTTTACCACACAGATAGAGTAACTCAATAAAATGGAAGATATTTTCTTGCTTCCTGGGGTGTTAATAATTCTAATCACTCACAGAACCTTTCAGGAGTAACTGTTGTTATCATTACAATTGAGAATTCTTTATTCTGTCCTCAAATGCCCGGAATAAGGCTCAGCGGAGTGCATGATAATACATTAAAATGAAACTTTATCTTTGAAAACAAAGAAGAAAAAATATTCCCTATTACAAGGTGTTTAGAAACCTTTTCCTCAGATACCTAACTGCTTCTGCTCCAGAGATATTACAAACAACCGGTTTCAATAGACTGTTTCTTTTTTTTTTTAAAGTGAGATTGAAAATGAGGTCAGAACTTTAGATACGTTGTGGCCAACCAGTCTTGCTTTTTTCCTCAATAAAGACTCATTTTGCCTAACAGAGCCTGAAAGGGCTGCATTGGGTATTGGAAATGCAGTGGTTAAACAATTATTTTAAAGGCAAGTCAACCTTTTTGTAAATATTTAAATGCACCCACATTGATAAAAAGAAGAATTGCATGTATTATTTTTTTTTACTGGAGCACACAAAGGATTGCAATGACAATTAGTACCCTAGATATTACAGGGTAAGCAGGTAGAGATACACTTTAAAGGAGAACTATGGGGTCAGTGTTTTTCCCCATAGTTCTCCTTAGGCTAACGGGAGGACACAAACTAGCATCCTCCCGTTACCCTAAGCTCAGTATACCGCGAGCTACAGCTCGCGGTATACTGAGACGCCGCAGCCGGAGCGGATCCCGACTTAGATGACGGGATCCGCCCAACTGCGTGAGTGACAGCTGGCTCTGCCTATCTAGAGGCAGAGCCAGCTGTACCCGCCTCCTCCCCCGTCCGTTCCGCCAGTCAGCGCTTACTGATCGGAGCGGGGAGAGGGGAATCCAGCCCCTCCCCCTGTCACCGCAGAGAGCCGTGACAGGATCGAGAGGTGAGAGAACCCGGTATGTGTTCGCGCACCTCCCGATCTACTGAGCCAACCTGTGACAGTCTCATTGTCACAGGTCGGCTAGAACTATGAGGTGAGTGAAAAGCACTCACCTCATAGTTCTCCTTTAATGTCTAACACTCAGTTCATTAAACAAAATAGTAAGCTGTGCAGAGTGACAAGAGCACCAGACCTACGGTTGAGAGTCCAGCCAATATTTATTAGTCATAAAAGTAAAAGCGATACCCAACATGTTTCAGGGGCTTAACCAGTTGCACTTCATCAGGGTTGCAAAAAACATAAGATTTGCTGGTGCTCTCTTCACTCGGTACAACCTACTACTGAGAATCTGAAGACCTCCTCTTTGGCCCCATTGGATTTAAGAGAGCAGCCTCTTAACTAAAATATCAACAGATCCAAATACTATCTAAATACTACTAAAATCCTGATCCAGGTCTCCAGTAAAATACCTTCTTTAAAATTACATTAAACTTAGGAGTTAAATATTAAGAATGCATTCAAGTGCCTCAACTATTAACAAAAATATATCTTATTTGTGTATTTCATGCTGACACTGTCCTTCCTTCTAGAGGGTGGCTACTTTTGTTCCCTATGGTCCCTGTGTGTGTTGTAAAGTAGCCTCCACTCCAAGCTCGCTCCCGTGATAGACTACAAGCCCAATACATATTTGTACACTAACTTGTAAACTTTTCTAACCAAAAGTGGAATTACTCTTTAAAGTAGGGATGTTCAGATACCAAGTACCGTACTCGGCACAAGTACAAGTACATATATAGATACTTTTCCAGCTCCAGGACTACACTAGAGAAAAACTCAAAAGTTAGGAGGCGGCTGTCATTTTTAAGAAACATACGGAGCTCCTGGGATTTGTACATCTCTGTTTTATTGTATGATTTTTCTTTTATAAATATATATTAGAGATGCACCA